ACTTGTCCACTGGAAACTTGTACAGATCAAGATATGGTACTTCGTTGTAAAAAAGATCGACCATGGTTCTTTTTTGAAAAAAATTTAATACATTCCTTGCTAGTGTATTGACATCCGTCGATCACATTTTGTTCTTTAAAATGGCAACGAAATCGGGATAACCTTTGTTAATGAGATCGATAGAGATCATGAAGATTGACGAAGATCACGAAAATTATGATTTAACATAATCAACAAAGATTATGAAGATTGATGAAGATTATGATCTTCATTTTCATGATCTCTGTCGATCTCATTGACAACCATTTGCAGGTTCATCCATTTCTTGGTTGACTGATGACCAAGTTACATGCCGAATATGGATGATGCAATTTTTTTAGTATATTCAACTGATTTTTAAACTAGTTTTCAACTTCAACTTTCCTCTAATTTAGTCTCGATAAAATATGATTAATCATGAAAACTTAGGGATCCGGACTAATATGATACCCACCTAATCATCAAGAGACGTGACACTTTGCCTAGCATGTCAAATTATCTCCTCCACAAACCTTTCATCAATTTCATTCAAGATTATAAAGATACCACCATTTCAAGCTTAACATTGTGTTCTATTAAGCTTCATCCGCACCTATACATACTAACTTAAATTGTTATATCGAATTTGTGTAAAATTCCATCTCACTTAATATTTTTCAAATGTGCGCAATGAAACAAAAATGCTTTCTTTAAAATTGTCTCCTTTTGCTAAATATAGGTTTTTTAGGCAAGAAACAGTTACGTCTAACTTTGAGACGGCATTCTAAGAATAAAATGTAACCCATTGTGATTTATTTTTTAATGAAACGAGATATTCACATCTACTTATAAATTGATTCTAAATATGTTGATAAAAGGAGGGCATGTCGTGAATTGAAAAAAATATATATATTTGTTAAGGATAATTGATAAATAAATATAAAAAAAAATATTGGGACATCATTATAATTTTAAAATGTTTTAGGTGTCATATATATTTTCCAAGAAGTTTTGGGGGGGGGGGGGGGGGGGGGGGGGGGGGTTTTTAGGTGTCATATATATTTTCCAAGAAGTTTTGGGGGGGTGAATATGATTTTCCCAAATGAAGAGGACCACTACATGTTCAATCAGAGCTCATGTCCCCCAACCACCTTAAAGTCTCCACTTTCTTTCACATATCATAGATTGATATGTTTGGTAGGCTTTTATTAACATTGATGATATAACTCAATAATAATTCTTCAACATTCTAAACATAATGCAAAGCAATTCGATTTATATTAAATAAAATATGTATGTTATTTGAATTAATCCCAGTGTACAGACAGTTGATTCACAGGGTGTTGTTAGATACCTCATTGTAGCAGCAAGCCCCACATGTAAAAAACAAAAAAATTGCAGTAGCCCCCACCATGTGAGTACCCTAGCAGGAACCTGTACGCCAAGCTGGGTTGATGTTATTTATAGCCCACTGTTCAAATCTCTCTCTCTTTTACGATGCTCATTGGAATTGAGTAAATATTGTAATCACGAATCTCTTTAAGATATTTGTAGAGCATGTTCTAGCCGCTGAAATTATCGTGCATTAATTTTATCTTGTCTGCATGCAATAATTAACAAGATTGGCAAAATCTTAATTTTCAATGTTCAAGGAACCTATGCTTGCTTCAACAACACATATTTGTCATCACGTGAGTATCATATTGCTATTGACGTTCAAATATATGGGTTTTATTAGCTACGGCCTTAGGTATTACAATTTTAAAAGGTTGAGTACACGAGAGTAACAAATAGTATATTGGAGATATCGGTGCCATTCTTACAAAAGATTGGGGAACACCTAGTGGAATTTACCTTTGAAAAAAAATTATGTATTTTTTTTATTCAAAACATATATTAGATAACTTACATTTTTTTTTTTCAATTTAGAATAGAATAAGTTAATTTCTGAAATTAGCTCTAACTTTATTGTTAACCTTGAATTGGTGAGTTGATGGTGCAAAATATGGAATACATTGCCTATTGTGATTGCTTCCGGGCCGATGTTCACCTTGTTATTTTATTCAATCCCTACTTTTTTCTTTCTTTTTTTTTTTTTTAAATGTCGACCCCTACTTAGCCCCCGTTTGGCCCCGTTCTCATTCTCATTATTTTTTTCTCATTATTTCAACAACACATTCTTTCATAAAATAATATTATACGCAAATAAAAAAAATTTTCATTCTTTTTCAATCATACATTTTTTAAAAAAAAAAAAACCTATTCCAGCCATTAAAATTTAACAAGAATGGAGGCCAAACAGGGTCTTAGTATCCCGATAAATGACTTGCTTTTTTCTACTTTGATTATTTTAACAAGGATAGAAACATGTTTGGGCCCTTTAACTTATATAATACCCTACTTTAGCCACAACTTATTTCTTGCCTCAAATTTAATCCTAAACTTTTACCCTATAAATCATGGTTGTCAGCTGTGTCAACGAAAACTAATACGATGGATGAAAATCATATATGACCAAAGTTAAAACGTTAAATAGCATAATATCGTCAATTAAGAATGTTATGACAAAGAAATTGTCAAAGAAAACCACGTACACATTCTGAATTTCGGCAAAGAAATGGTCAACAAATATTTATTCAACTGCTAAGTGACGTTTTAGTTTATGCCACGTATAATTTCTGTCTGTTATGTGTATGCTCCATTAGCTTTAACGAATTGATAATAGAGACCAGTAAGGTAAGAAAATGAAAGTTTGGGTGCTAAATATGTGGCAAAAAAAGCTCAAGGACTAAATTAGGGCAAATATAAATTGTGTCGACACAGATATAAGTGAACTTTTTAAGGTTCTCGCTCCTATTATATATCTCCAGTGAGAACTAAAGTCGCACCAGCATAATCTTTATCTGTAGTCCAAAATTAATGAACTGTACAGAAATTACAGGAGAGAAGCCGTCCTTGTATGGCAACTGTCACTATATCGTTCATCCAGGTGCCAATCCAAATCCCTCTGAGTCAGTAACGAACCGTCAATTTTTTTCCTTCTTTCTAGACCGCTGCAGTCACCACCACCACATCGACATCTCTGCCCCAGATTTTAGCCGTAACGAGCCACCGTGGAATTAGCTTGGAGTAAATACTCTCTCTTTACATGGAGTCTTCAAACGGGTACTTGGCACACAAACAGTACCCTACCTTTGCTTCTTCCCACGGAGAAGTCACTTACAGGTCCTTCTCTCTACTTCTACCCCTATACGTGTGTGTATGTGTGTTTGTGTGATTGTGTCGATTGTATTAGATTTGTAATTATGCACAATGTTTCTGGAACGAAGAGACAGAAGAAAATTAAAATTGCGTTTAATATAGTCACTGCTGATGAAATTTCATGAAATTATGAGTTCTTAATGTGAAAACATTTATTTATTAATTGTAATTACACTGCATAGAGAATTCTCTCTTTATTACTAGTAAATTAATTGTGGGTTTACGGAGAAAATAGTCTATTTTGGAGTTTGCAATCCTTATTGCGTATATTCGTGCATTTTTTCTTGGTATGTTTGTATTTTTTTCCTCTTTTTCTCTGTTTTGCCTTTGAAGCAAAATATCTGCCTGAGCATGTTTGGTTAAGCTTGAAAAGTTCAGTTATAAGTGAGTTAATGAACTTTTGTAATGGTGAACGTAAAGGAATAAGTTCGTCTTTTGACAGGAAGTTAAAGTTTTCAAATAAGTAACCTTTTTTACTTCGAGGGAAAAATAATGTTTGGAACTTTAGCCTAACATTATTAAAATACTATCGCTATACACTGTATCTGACTTTCTAGAGTGCTGAAAGATCACGTCCATCTTCTCATAAAATCCCTCTGTGCCAGGTTACTGCAGGGAAGGCTTGATTTAGCTAAGCTAACTGTTTGTTTCATAAATGAACTATAGCAAAAAGGACCTTCGGCATTTGTGCCAAAATTAAAATTGATTGAATAAATGTATAAAAACTAATGCCATTGAGGACTTAAAACATTTACATTTACTAGAATCTTACTTTAACATTACTCTGATAAATGCTATGATAAAGTACTAGACTTCTAGAATAAGTCTGCTTTGATATGAAAGAAGTACTAGAGTTGGCATCATAAAGTTTTATTCTCTTCAAGTTGTTCCCGTAGTGTGTATTCTCTGCCTGTCTATATCTTCCAGATGACATTTTTTTGCAAGATTTGCTATTATCTGAAGTCAACTCTCAGCCAAGCAGAGATTTAGTGGATGTTGCGAATTCACAGGGATAGTTATTCTCGTAACCTTGGTAACTCTGATTTTATGATGAATTAAGTCAGATATTTTAAGTTCACTATCCTATATATGTGCTCTAGAAGTTATAAACTTGTCGACTATTACTTGTGATTTGGTGATTACTATGAAATAGTGTGTATTTCCATGATCTAATGGTGGTATTATGTTTCACGGTTTGACCTGGGGTGGTGGAGGTTGAGGCTTTAGCGATTTGCTTACCTTTTCATTTGGTCTTTTTGGAGCATAGTAAATGGTTTTAAGAATTGAATTGTTTCCACTATTATGTGTGCCCTGGAGCCGTTGCCTTCTTTTGTATCATCCATATCTTGGGCGGAATCTTGAGTTCATTTTTCAGGGTTTGATGAATCCATTGTTTTAGTGATTTGAAAGCCAGGGATCTCTTGTATGTGACTTATTTCTTAAAGACAACTATATGAACTCTGAATAACACTGCTTGCTGTTAGATTTGCTATGTATGCATCTAAAAGATTCTGCAAATGATGATTATGGCTGAAAGTGGCCCATGTAAGGCATTTGATTGTAAGATTTAAGGGAAGCTTAAAAGTGATTTTGACAACTTCAGATAATATATGTTTAAAAACTTCTGTGTCATCATTATGAAGTTGAAGTATTGGTAATATTAGATTTGTGATTCTACAATAGAGCATACAACATGGGTGTTGTTTAAACACGTGAAATAGTTGGCTTTGTTCACTGCCTAAAGGAATGTGCAAGTAGATTTCCAAGATAGACTCATCTGTAATTTCATCTGCGACAAATTCCATTTGGAAAATTGTTGTTACACAATCTCTTTCCATCGCATGTCTGACATATAGTCAAATTTCGTTCAATTCAGTATTATGACAATCAACATTGAATAAAAGATGGTTCTATCCAAGAACAGACTTAGATTCCATAATTCTAGGTTGAGCCCTCTGTAATACCATTCTATAATGCCACAAGGCTATTGGCTCATGTGTGCAATGTGAGTTGCAGAGTTCAGAGACAGTTATTGTTGGCTTTATCTATTGGGAAGAGTGGTTACTCAAATGCTGAGAACTCTCAATCCACACTTAGATACTGCTTTAATGATTCTCATATTCCATATTGGATTTCCAAAATGAGCTGGTCTTTTTCTACCTATTGGTTTGATAAACCAGCAGTTTGATGAGTAGCATTTTTATTTTTATTTTTATTTTTTATTTTTTATTTTATTTTTGGGGTGGGGTTTCTCCAAAGAGAATGAGAAATAGAATTCAAAGGAAAGACTGATACAAGGTTGTTCATGGATTGCGTCAAACTTTTGCTCCTAAATCTGTACTTCTATTCTTATCAAAAGGATGAGAAGAATAACTAGAACAGTGCATTATCCTCTCAGTGGTTAGGCAGTTCTACGCGAATTACTGGAACAGGTTTGAAAGATTTATCAATGCGAAAAAAATGAAAACATAGGCAGATGTGACCAAATGTAACTAATGCTAGCATACATAGAAGTCTATGATAAAATCAACTCATGATAATTTTTCTAGACTAGAATAGATCAATAGATTCTAATCTCAATCTTCATCTGGAAAATCCTGAAATTTACTATAATTAAGAGGGGTAAAAACTCCCTTTACTCCACCTCCATCTCCCTTTCTTGACAAAAAATAAAAATAAAAATTAAATAAAGTAAATAAAGAAAAGATAGTCTGGTCATGAAGAGTTACTGGCGAAAGGATCAGCTATGCTACGCTTCTTAGTGGTCTTGGAGCCGAGTGCTAGCCTACCGTGGTGCCATGATATTTTGGTGTACAAGTTTCTGTGATATTTTGGCATACAAGTTTCTGAATGCAATGAAGAATTTCTTACAAGCTAACATGATCCCCTAGTGAAGAAGAAAAAGGAACTTTTGGATGAAGAAGAAAAAGGAACTTTTGGAACTCATAAGCATTGATAGTTACGAGATCCCTGGGAAAAGGAAGCACAAAAGACCAAGATAAAGAAGATTAGAAGCAACATTGTTTTGTAGAAATTTAATTATAATTGCTGTTGGTTCCTGTGCAAGTCTGTGTCTGAAAAGTTTTGAAAGTTAAGCACTTCTTTCTGTTGTAATCAGTGGACACACTGAAGGCAGCTTTGAAGTGACTCTTATCGAGTTTTTGGACATTTAAGTTTACAGGGTATGGAGAGATTAGCCAGATTAGGTGGATATAAGTAAACCAATGCCATCGAGTTGATCAATGAAGCTGAAAGCCTGGGTTGCAGTATTTGAGAGTGGAGGGGGAGAAGAAATGGAAGTTCGGATATGGATCAAAATCTGATAGGAACAAAGAGTAGTGTTCATTGCACGATAAAGATTTTGACTTTCATTATGAAATGAGCTAACTTGAATATGGATCTATCCTTTTTGATTGTCGAGCGAGTAACAACAGTCCTGGTATTGACACGCTCCATCTCCATAATATCGTGCCAGTATACATCATTTTTGATCCTGAATTAGTGATCCAAAATGTGGCAGGGAATATTGAATGCCATATGAGCTCTGAATTCACCTGTGCTTTGCCATCAGTTGATTATTTTTTTTTTTTTTTGCGCTTTGGTTTCTATAATTTACATTAGACCTGATGGGGTTCTGTGGATTATGATTACCATTTTGATTTGTTCATGCAGCTGCGGTACTTGTGGATATGATCTAAAACTGAACTCGTCCCGAAGGAACACATCAACTATTGGCTCCAAATATTCTAAATCCATAAAGAAGGGGATCATTACGTTTTACTCCATAGATCAGAACCGATTCAATCAGGTTGAAGAGATCGGCTGCGTACCCTACTTCATTTCTAAGCACTCTTGGGGTTTGTTCAGAAGGAAAACCAAACTTTTGTGCCCAAAATGTGGTAACCTTATTGGTAATGCTTATGATGATAACACTTATGCTTATTCCCTTATACGAAATGGTTCAAGTTCACCCTCTGGCAGTGAAAATTCCAATCCACGAAAATATGATATCAGAATTCGTTCTTTGCAACCTTCTGCAGAATTTGGTACACCATCTGTGTTGTGATGTTCTCGTGAAGCATTCATATCATATGCTACTTTTTTTTCTGGTTGCTTCACAGTCCGTGAATATGTTCTATCACAATTAGTTAAAATAATGCTTTAGCAGTGAAGAATTATAGCTCCCCATGAAACCCTCTCTAATTGTTCTTCATAAGAAAAGTTTTTGCCATATATTTTTCTGGGAATGTTGTAAATATTCTTATGTTTATTTTGGCTTTCTTTTGCTCCATGATATACGACTATCCATGTGTATGAAGCAACATTGTGAATGGAATCATTTGTACTTGTGATTTCTTGTTTTCTCATACTTGGTATTAGTCTTCCAACTTTTTAGACTTTTTTTTTTTTATTTTAGTAATGTATGATAAATTGCCTGTCGAGTAAATTTATTCGTTCTTGCGATATTTTGAAATGAAAAATTAATTTATTTTTCGATAAATTGTTTGTATTACTTTGAACTTGCATTTATTCGTGGATTGTTTTGATATTATAAAGTGGGTGTGATAAATGTAAAGTATTATTTTATAATTTATATGGTATATATCATTTTAGGAGAAAACACAAGATTAGACAAGAACGGATGAAAATGAGCAATAATTGATCAAAAAGGAGTAAAGTTGGACATATTTTGAAAGCTGGTGACCAGGGAGTCACGTTTGAAAATCGAGACAAAATTGCACAAGGAAAGATTAAATTCCAGCAATTTCAGAAAAGAAACTTGTTTAACATACACGCTCAAAAGTTGAATATATGATATGTGGAATCTATAAAGTCAAAGTTAATTATTTGGTTTCGTTAACTTGTTTAAATTCTTGAAGGAAATATTGAATTACATATATCAAGTTGAGCGTCTTTGTTTAGAGTTTAATTAAATTTCTATTTTGCTTTATTTGAGGACGAACAAGTGTTTTAAGTTTGAGATGGTGTTTGGTAAGTGTAATCATGTTTATTTTGACCATCAAACCATGACTTTTGGGAGCAATTTTATGGATTAGATACTTGAACTTATAAGCTTTTTTTTTTTATTATTTTAGGAGAAAACTCGAGACTGGACGAGAATGGATGAAGCAATAATATATCAAAAATTAGTAAAGTTGGACATATTTTGAAAGTTGGGGACGAAAGAGTATGCTTAAAATTTTAAGGACCTCAGTTGTAAAATTTAAGAACCCAATTTGATTTAAAAAGGAAAACAAGAACCAAATTCACAAGAAAAGATCAAAATTCAGAAGTTTGAGATATCCTACTTGAATAAAATTATGATTCACTGTCCTATTGGACTCTATTTAAGACCTAATTTAGGTATGTAAATAGGAATATTTCTTTTAAAATTAGGGGACGCATCTAAATACATTGAATCCTCAAAATTTGTATCTCAATTTATAATTTGAAGGTTGAGAAACACAATTGATGGGGGTATATACAAGTTTAGAAGAGGAGATTGACGAACCATTATTGAGAATTTGGTGCCAAGAAATAATAATCGTTTGAATTCTTTTCTTTATTCCTTGTATTGAACTCATTATTTTTGTTGTTTAATTTCTCAATTATGATGGGCTAAATAATTGGTTATTAAGATGGTCGATATAACTTAGGCTTAATATTTATTTAATTTCAAATATTTCATGAAACTTAATTATGTGTTAATTGCTAATTGTGCTTTAATTACATTGAATTGCTTGATTACCAATTTTTTGGTTGAAGGACAGTATTGAAATCAAGAGGGGATATATTTGTCTAGTTTGTGCAATAAATGACATAAATGTTATAAGAGATTGAGAGATGATTGTAGGATATGTAATCTTGATAGAATTTCTACAACTGAGTGCTTTTACATGCGTACAAATTTATATAGAGACATAGTAGAATTGGATATGTGAAAAGATTAATTTTGCTCGAGAGAGACTACTAATTTAAATTGGTTAATTCGATTGTCAATACATATGAAAAAGGTGTTAAATGATATTTGATTGAATGAATAACTAAATTGATCTAAGTGAATTCAGAATTCCTAACCGATTAATCCCAATAATTCTCCACAAATTAGATTAATTAGGTTAATTTAGATTAGTTTAGTACAAATTGGTTATAAATAAATCTTGATTTATTAAATCTTTACAATATTAATTTAGATGGAGCTAGAATTGGAATAAAAATTAGTAAGTATTAATCTTCGCGGGAAGATATTCGGACTCAAAAATTCACTTTATTACTTGTCACGATCAGTACACTTGCAGAATCACATGAATAAGGTGAATTCGATTTATAAAGCTATCTAAATTTTTTAGTCAACGATTGATAAATAAAACGAACACGTGATTTGATAAGATTATCTCAATTTTATTAAAGTTCATCTTTGACTTTGGTAATAACATTGAGCGTATATTTTGAAAATATTGGATTGGATAACATGAAATTTAATTTCACCGATTAGAAAAATGCTTGAGGTACATTGTGGTGTCTATTTTGGTGTCCAAAATGGACACTTGGCGTTCGGTATTGGCCGAGGCGCCTGTGAGCCCAGGTGTGGCAGCCGCCTCTGCTAATGCAGAGGTGTCGGGTGTTCATTTTGGACAACAAAATGGACACCAGAATGTACCCATAGCACTACTGATTATTGTATGTGATACCTTAATCATGAATGGGCAGTGGACTTTGATTACTAATTTGAAATTTCTTTGAAATTTCAATGTTTGTGATCAAATTACTTGTCAATTTTTTCGGTACCTTGGAAAAATAAAGTAAAATGATGGGGAATATATATTTGCGATATGAAATTCGTAAACTATTTAATAGGTATGACCATGACCTCAAAGTATTAATTAGTGAACAGTTAAATTTGAGTTCAATAATTTGAAGTTGATTGTTGAATTAATATTGCGATGTCATAACATGAAATTGTCAGATAGAAAACGAAATTTGAGAATTTATGTATATTTGAAAAATTTTGATCATTTTAACTTATTTCGAATATTCGATATGGTGTACGAGGATAACACACGTGTGCACGATAAGTCAAATAACATACAATTATTGTTTATATAATTTTAATTAGACTTTGAGTGCAATATCCCTTTTTAGTGGAATAAAATATGATTAATAAATTATCTTGACCGATCAAGGGTTGAGTGTGTCAAGATTAATTTATTGGAACTTAGTTTAATTGGGTTCGATTACGTCCGTTCGATGGCGTCAAAACAAGAATTGGGATAAATTTTAAAAATTATAATTTAGCATTGACTACAGTGAAAATAATTAAATTTATGGGAAGAATTTGATTTGAAGTAAATACTAGAATTGGAGGAAGAGTCCTTTTAGGTTATGGAATATTTTCATATTCAAGTCATGTCCAATATTATAAATTGGTGCCCAATTTAAAATTAGGGGACGCATCTAAATACATTGAATCCTCAAAATTTGTATCTCAATTTATAATTTGAAGGTTGAGAAACACAATTGACAGGGGTATATACAAGTTTAGAAGAGGAGATTGACGATCCATTATTGAGAATTTGATGCCAAGAAATAATAATCGTTTGAATTCTTTTCTTTGTTCCTTGTATTGAACTCATTATTTTTGTTGTTTAATTTCTCAATTATGATGGGCTAAATAATTGGTTATTAAGATGGTCGATATAACTTAGGCTTAATATTTATTTAATTCCAAATATTTCATGAAACCTAATTATGTGTTAATTGCTAATTGTGTTTTAATTTCATTGAATTGCTTGATTACCAATTTTTTGGTTGAAGGACAGTATTGAAATCAAGAGGGGATATATTTGTCTAGTTTGTGCAATAAATGACATAAATGTTATAAGAGATTGAGAGATGATTATAGGATATGTAATCTTGATAGAATTTCTACAATTGAATGCTTTTACATGCATATAAATTTATATAGAGACATAGTAAAATCGGATATATGAAAAGGATTAGTTTTGCTCGAGAGAGACTACTAATTTAAATTGGTTAATTCGATTGTCAATACTTATGAAAAAGGTGTTAAATGATATTTGATTGAATGAATAACTAAATTGACCTAAGTGAATTCAGAATTCCTAACCGATTAATCCCAATAATTCTCCATAAATTAGATTAACTAGGTTGATTTAGATTAGTTTAGTACAAATTGGTTATAACTAAATCTTGATTTATTAAATTTTTACCATACTAATTTAGATGGAGCTAGAATTGGAATAAAAATTAGTAAGTATTAATCTTCACGGGACGATGCTCGGACTCAAAAATTCACTTTATTACTTGTCACAATCAATACACATGTAGAATCACATGAATAAGGTGAATTCAATTTATAAAGCTATCTAAATTTTATAGTCAACGATTGTTAAGTAAAACGAACACATTATTTGATAAGATTATCTCAATTTTATTAAAGTTCATCTTTGACTTTGGTAATAAGATTGAGTGTATATTTTGAATATATTGGATTGGATCACATGAAATTTAATTTCACCAATTATTGTACGTGATACCTTAATCATGAAAGGGTAGTGCACTTTGATTACTAATTTGAAATTTCTTTGAAATTTCAATGTTTGTGATCAAATTACTTGTCAATTTTTCGGTACCTTGGAAACTAAAGTGAAATAATGGGGAATATATATTCGCGATATGAAACTTGTAAATTATTTAATAGGCATGACCACGACCTCAAAGTATTATTTAGTGAACAGTTAAATTTGAGTTCAATAGTTCGAAGTTGATTGTTGAATTAATATTGCGGTGTGATAACATGAAATTGTCAGATTGAAAATGAACTTTGAGAATTTCTGTATATTTGAAAAAAAATGACATTTTGATCATTTTAACTTATTTCGAATATTCGATATAGTGTATGAGGATAACACGTGGGCACGATAAGTCAAATAACATCAATTATTGTTTATATAATTTTAATTAGACTTTGAGTGCAATATCGTTTTTTAGTGGAATAAAATGTGATTAATAAATTATCTTGATCGATCAAGGGTTGAGTGTGTCAAGATTAATTTATTGGAGCTTAGTTTAATTGTGTTCGATTACGTCCGTTCGATGGCATCAAAACAAGAATTGGGATAAATTTTAAAAATTATAATTTAGCATTGACTACAGTGAAAATAATTAAATTTATGGGAAGAATTTGATTTGAAGTAGATACTAGAATTGGAGGAAGAGTCCTTTTAGGTTATGGAATATTTTCATATTCAAGTCATGTCCAATATTATAAATTGGTGCCCACCAAGATCTGGAAATAGAATCAAGACGAACAATGTGTTTTAATTCCAACAAAATTATTATATTTTTGTCAATAATTAAATTAATTTAATCCTAAATTAAACATGTACGTTTAAACATGTACGTGTAGCATTACTCTTCTTGTGGAGAGGGTAGTTCTTGCCTAAATAACTCGTAAATTTATTTTAATTTTCTCACTTTAAAGATTATATTGAATTCTTATCAATCATAAATAACATTGAAGTCCATACTCAAAAGATTGATTATGAAGAATCATACCATGTGGACTGTTTTTGCTTGAAGTGAAAATGAAGGGAAGTTGGGAGAAGGAGAGGAATGAAGATCCTCTTCAAAGGCCTACCA